TCATGCATCCACTATTATAGTATCATAGAAAATAATTTAACCACCCTAAAATTCCCCTGTGGTTCACCTTTTCAACACTCCCCATCACCATTGGCAATTACTGATCTTTTTAATGTTTCTATAGCTCTGCCTTCCAGAATATTATATACTTGGAATCATACAATAGGTAGTCTTTTCAGATTGGGTTCTCTCACTTAGAAATGTATTAAGGTTCCTCCGTATCTTTTTTGTGGCTTGACAGCTCATTTTTTTATTGCTTTATAATATTTCTTTGTATAGATGTACCACAGTTTATCCATTCACCTCCTGAAGGACATGGATTGATTCCAACTTTTAGCAATTGTAAATAAGGCTGCTATAAGCATTCATGTGTGCCTTTTTGTGCAGACCTAAATTTTTAAGTCAGTTGGAAATATAATTGCTAGTTTGTGTGTAAGATTATGTTTAGTTTTGTAAGAAACTGTCAAACTGTCTTTCAAAGTGATTTTGTATTTCTGCTAGCAATGAGAGACAGCTCTCTCCTGCTGCTCCACATTCTTGTCGACATTTGGTATCCAGTGGTTTTGTTATTATTTGTAACTATTCTAATAGGTATGTAGTAGTAGCTCCTTGTTTTAATTTCCTAATGACAAAGGATGTTGACTGTCTTATGTTTATTTGCTATATGTGTATCTTTGGTAAGGCATTTTTAAATTGAATTTTTTATTGTTGAATTTTAAGAATTATTTTATGTTGGGCAGCGCCTGTGGCTCAGTGGATAGGGCGCTGGCCCCATATACTGAGGGTAGAGATTTGAACCTGGCCCCGGCCAGCTAAAACAGCAGTGGCAACACAACAAAAAATAGCCAGGCATTGTGGCAGGTGGCTGTAGTCCCAGCTACTTGAGAGGCTGAGGCAAGAGAATCGCTTAAGCCCAAGAGTTGAGATTGCTGTGAGCTGTGACAGCACAGCACTTTACTGAGGGCAACAGAGTGAGACTCTGTCTCAAAAAAAAAAAAAAACAAAACAAAAAACTAGGGCACTGCCCCATATACCAAGGGTGGCAGGTTCCAACCCAGCCCTGGCCAAACTGCAACAACAAAAAAGTCAGGTGTTATAGTGAGCACCTGTAGTCCCAGCTACTTGGGAGGCTGAGGCAAGAGAATCACCTAAGTCCAGGAGTTGGGGTTTGCTGTGAGCTGTGATGTCATAGCTCTCTACCGAGGGCAATAAAGTGAGACTCTGTCTCTAAAAAAAAAAAAAAAAAGAATTATTTTATGTTTTGGTCACAAGTCCTTTATTAGATATGTTTTACAAATATTTTTTTCTATTCTGTGGTTTTCTTTTTTTCCTTTTTTGAGATAGAGCCTCAAGTGGTCACCTTGGGTAGGGTGCTATGACATCACAGCTCACAGCAACCTCCAACTCCTGGGTTCAAGGGAGTCTCCTGCCTCTGCCTCCCTAGTGGCTGGGATTACAGGCACCTGTCACAACACCTGGCTATTTTTTGGTTGCAGCTGTCATTGTTGTTTGGCAGGCCCAGGCTGGGCTCAAACTCCCCAGCTCAGGTGTATGTGGCTGGTGCCTTAGCTGCTTGAGCCACAGGCACTGGGCCCGTGGGCTGTCTTTTTGATTTCTTTTTTTTTTTTTAATTTTACTATGAAATTCTAAGAAAAGAAATAGCTGAAAATACTAACAAATGGAAAAACATACCTTGCTCATGGCTGGGAAAAATTAATATTGTTAAAATGTCTATATTACCTAAAGCAATATATAATTTCAATGCAATCCCTATTAAAGTTCCATTGTCATACTTTAAAGATCTCGAAAAAATAATAATGCATTTTATATGGGGTCTTTTTGATTTCTTGACGGTGTCCTTTGAAGCAAAAAGCTTTTTAATTTTGGTGAAGTCCAATGTAGCTAATTTTTTCTCTTATGTCTTGTACTTTTGGTATCATATCTAAGAAATTATTCCCTAATCATGGTCACACTTATTCCTGTATTTTCCACTTAGAATTTTTATCATTGTAGCTTTTTTTTTTTTTTTTGGACATACTGTCAAGCTGTTGTCCTGGGTAGAGTGCCGTAGCATCACAGCTCACAGCAACCTCTCTTAGGCTTAAGAGATCCTCTTGCCTCAGCCTCCCAAGTAGCTGGGACTTTAGGTGCCTGCCACAACGCCGGCTATTTTTTGGTTATAGTTGTCATTTTTGTTTGGCAGGCCCAGGCTTGGTTCGAACCTGCCAGCTCGTTTGTATGTGGCTGGTGCCTTAGCCGCTTGAGCTACAGGAGCCGAACCGATATTCTAGCTCTTATATTTACATCCCTGATCCACTGTGAGTTTTTATGTATGGTATAAATTCAACTTCATTTTTCTTTTACATATATGTATCCAGTTGTTCTAGCATATTTGTTGAAAAGATTATTCTTTCCCTGTTGAATTGCCTGGGGGTGGGCATTCTTCTGTTTATTACAATGGCCAATTTTTGACAAATACATCGAGGATGTAGACATCCTAATGCCTATCAATATGTTGCCTGCCAAAGGAGAATGAAGGCTGCAGGCGGAATTATGGTTGCCAATCACTCCACCTAAATTTAGGAAAATTACTCTGCATTATCTGGATGAGCCCCAATGTAATCATAAACATCCTTCAGAGTGGAAGAGGGTGGGCTGAAGAGAGCAGAGTCAGAAGGAAACGTGACTATGTAAGAAGACAGAGTGAGGTGATGAGAGGACTTGTCTCTGTTAGCTTTGAACACAGAGGAAAGAAACATGAGCCAAGGAATGTAGGCTGCTTCAAGAAGTTGAAAAAAGCCAAAACAAACAAACCCCCAAACAACAATAGATTCTGCCCAGAATCTACAGAAAGGAATGCAGCCCTGTCAGTGCTTTAATTTTAGCCTGGTTAGACCTGTGATAAACCTTCGACCTACACAACTTACAGATAATATATCTGTGTAGTTCTAAGCCACTAAATATGCAGTGACTTAGTATGACAGAATTAGAAAAATAATACAATCATCACTGTATTTTTGGACTTTCAATTCTATTCCGTTGATCTAAATTTTCATGCCAGTGCCACACTGTCTTGATTACCATAGATTCATAGTAAACTTTGAAATTCAGAAGTGTCAGTCCTCCAACTTTGTTCTCAAGATTGTTTTGACTATTCTGGGTCTATTGAATTTTACTATGAATTTAGAATCAACTGGTCAATTTCTGTTAAAAAAAAAAAAACACACAGCTGGGATTTTGATAGGGATTGCATTGACTCTGTGGATCAATTTGGGGAGTATTGCCATCTTATCAATATTAAGTCTTCTGATCCATGAACACAGGATTTCTTTCCATTTATTTAGCTCCTATTTCTTTGTACTAGCATCATATTTATTTGCTAAGTATATATTTTTTTAAATTCTGCTTTTTAAAAATTTTATTTCTAGATTGCTCATTATTAGTGTATAAATCACAATTTTCAAATTTGACCTTGTATTTCTAGTTTTTCATTGTACTAGCATCATACTTATTTGCTAAGTTTATTTTTCTTTTTAAATTGTGCTTTTTAAAAACTTTTATTTCCAGATTGCTCATTATTAGTGTACAAATAACAATTTTCATATATTGACCTTGTATCTCCCTGCCTTGCTAAACATATTAGTTCTAATAGTTTTATGTGTTGTGTATTCCTTAGTGTTTTCTACATACAAGATCATGTCATCTCAGAATAGAGATAATTTTACTTCTTTCCAATTCGGATGGATTTTTTTTTTTGAGTCAGAGAGTCAAGTTGTTGTCCTTGGTAGAATGCTGTGGTGTCACAGCTCACAGCAACCTCCAACTCTTGGGCTCAAGGAATCTTTTTGCCTCAGTTTTTCTATTTTTAGTATAGACAGGGTCTTGCTTTTCCTCAGGCTGATCTTGAACTTGTGAGCTCAAGCAATCCACCTGCCTCAGCCTCCCAGAATGCTAGGATTAAAGCCACCATGCCGGCTGATTTTATTGCTTTTTGTAGCCTAATCTTCCTAGTTAGATCTTCTAATACAATGTTGGTTAGAGTAGTAGGAACAGACATTCTTGCATTTTATTTGATGATGGGGTAAAAACATCCATTCTTTCACTGTGAAGTATAATCTTAATTTCATATTATTAAATTGAGGAAATTTCCTCTATTCTTAAGTGTTTTTTAATTCTAGGATGATATTGGCCTTTGTTGATGTTTTCTCTGTATCTATTAATATGATTATGCAGTTTTTTGTCTTTTATTTGATTAAAGCGATGTATTAATTTATTTGGGGGTATTAAGCCAACTTCAAGTGCATTTTTAAAAACATTAATTTTATAAAAGTTTCTATGATTCACAGGTCTTTTGCAGAACATTTCCAGACATTCTAATTTCTTTTTCATAAAATTATTATCTCACAGGCAATAGTTTCACATAGATGAAACTAAAACCATGAGAGGGATAGAAGACCTGCTCAGGATCACATGACTAACACCAGCAAGAACAGCATTACACCCAATTTTGACATTCAGTTCTCTTTACCCTGCCATGTTGTGCCGCCATACTCCTCACACATCAGTCCAGGACAGACAACTTCCAAGGCAGAAAAAGTAGCGGACTAAGGTCAGGACTCACCCATGGTTAAGTGGTCCTCTTGTCACTTTAGCTCCTTCAGGTAAACCCAACACCATACAAAGGCTGAGCACTTTCAATTAATTCCTGTCACCATGCTCCCCTCCTTCCATCATTTCTAGAGATGAGAGTTTTGGGTTATGAACCTCCCGTTAAACAAACACCAGGTTAAAGTCCAGACCAGACCTTCCAGATGCTCCAAACCATTCACTTGTTGGGGGCATGAACTCTTTCCCTGGTCCTTGCTGCATGACAAAAAGTATTTTTGCTCTACTATATCTGAAGATTCAAGGCTGATAAAGAACCACTCTGGACTACCTTGATGGTTTAGGATCCTCTATTTAAATCTCAGGTCCTATCTCTCTCACTTTGTTTGAACCAGATGTCTCTGTAGCCACTTCTTAGCTGCCAGATTTTCCTTGTACAGGGGTCCATGCTAATCTTCTCTGTATCATTCCAATTTTAGTATACATGCTGCTGAAGCAAGCACTAGCTCCTTATTCTGATGTCCTTCTACTCTCCATTATCCTGGATTCCTTATATTCCAGACTCATTGTCTTATCTAATCCATCTTCTTCAAGGGTTCCTTAGTTTCTTATCATTTTTCCAACAACATTATCAGGTGTTCCAAGGATCCATATCCCTATGATGGCTGCACAGATAGACCTCAGGGTTCAGCAGTTCATATTTGCTTGTTAACCATCACCATCATCTCACCCACCTGCTTGTATTGTGTGCTCCAGATGAATCATTACAAATTCAGAAACATCTAAGGCCCTGGATTACATTATTTTAATACATCAAAATATATAATCTTTATTCCAAATACTTTTTCAGGCCACAGTGGAGGAGGAAGTGGGAGGGATTTTGCCACAGTAGCAAACAGGAATTCTGTGAAAGACTTACAGTAAACCTACTTTCCAAAGAAAGGTGCCTCTCTGCACCTTACACATGCCAACATAATACTCAGCACTCTATGAACATTAATGGATACAGAATTATCACAGTACCTTCATTTCAATCCCCTTCCCAGAGTCTACCCATACCTTTCCCCATATCCTCTTTCTCACTTAATTCAGGAACAAGCTAGATCGCAGCTAAGGTTCACTCCAAAACCAGATATAGAGCTTGCTGGGTGAGTAGGGGGCCAGCCAGAAAAATCTCTGGTATAGTACATCTACCTAAGAAAAGAAGCAGTCAGTAGCACTTGTACCTGTACCACAGACTAGGGAGGCAAACTCCACTTTAATTGTGGACGGTTTGGGAGCCCCCTCATTTGGCAACAGGCACCCCAAATTGATTCTATATAATAAAAATAAACCCACAATAATAACAACAACAACAAAACTCACCATCTTATATCCAAATATCTTGATCTTTTCTACCTTTGTAGTTTCTAAAGGATTGTTGGATCCAATATCTGCTTTGACAGGGCAAAGATCATAAGAAGAAGGAATTAATGGCTAGAGGAGAGGGATACCTTATCTAAGATTTTACAGATAGTAATGGGAGTCAGAGCTAGAAGCTGGACTTCTTATTTAGCACTTTTTGCTACTGTCTCCTAAATCTGCTCTTCTTCATCATTTTGTTTGAAGAGGAGTCCTAGCACATATCTTTATTCAAATATAGTAGAACTCCATAGTTGACCACCTCTCCACATTGACCACCTCCTTAAGTTTATCTAATTTTCATAGACAAGACAGGCTCCACACATAAGTATCCATACAGTAGGCCTAGTTCCTTATGTTGACCACTTCCATGTTAACCAGTTTGTTATAGTGCCTTGGGTGGTCAACTTTCAGAAGTTCTACATATGTCTATAAATATTTTGAAATCAATGATAACATCTGAATTTTTCATAAATTATCAATAGTATATTCTTCCTCTTCAGAGAATAGTGAAAGAAATGGAAAAAATTGTATATTTTCCTCAGGTTTATGTGACAAACTAATCATTAATTCAGATGTGCTTAATTTACATAATTTTTT